TAAGGGAATTTGTCAAACTCCTTTGACCAATGAGTAAGAAAGATTTTAATTTATTGTTTTCTTTAGTTGATGGTCTTATTAGTAACTTAAGCTACTAAGATGCATTAATTTGAGACACTTAACCAAGAGATTATCTATATAAGGTTTCAGTAGAAGTAAAAAGTTGGGGGCTCAAACCTCAAATCCAATTCACAGAGGTGTTTTTACCTGGATCATACAGGATTTTATTTTAATGGAGCGAAGAATTTGAAAAGATTTTAAGACATGACATTTAAAACATCCAAATTTTGAACTCCTCTTAAAAAAAAAGGAAGACTTGGCAGTGACAGGCCCACATTCCCATATGGCCACAATCAGCTGTCAGCTGCTCCACTAGAGAGGTGAGGTCTCTGATCCACACTTCCTGGCTGCCCCCCCTCACTCCTATACTTATCTTCCCCATCCCTGGAGACATCTGAGTTTGTGACGCCTACTTTAGAGGAATCAGATAAGGAAAGTGCAGGAATTAAATTAAAAAATAAATAAAAAGAGAAGACATATCACCTGGAAGAAATGTTAACATACTAGACAGCAAAAACCAGTTTCTCCATATCGTATGCCGTAGTACTCTGGGGCACTAGAGATCAACTGGCTTGTGACAGAGAAATTTTAAAGGGACATAAATCTGCCCGGCCAGTGTAGCTCAGCAGTTGAGCATCAACCTAGGACCCAGGAGATCAAGATTTAATTCCTGGTCAGGGAACATGCCCAGGTTACGGGATTCCCAGTCGGGGGAGTGCAGGAGGCAGCTGGGCAATGACTCTCTCATCACTGATGTTTCTATCTCTCTCTCTCCCTCTCTCTGAAATCAATAAAGATATATTTAAAAATAAAGTGATGTAAATCCTTTAGCATAAATGTTATACAAATAAAGTACTTTTAGCATTCTGGCCCAAGGTCAAATTCGAGGTGGGTATTTCAAAAGAACTCTTTTGTCTGATGTGAACTATAAAACAACTCTTCAAATTCTTCTACTACTTCTAGTATGTATGCTGAGTTTATCCAGGAGAAAAAAAGAAGACAGCTTTCTTGGTTTGTCTTTCTAATGCATCAACATATTCTTTCCCATAATTAGACTCTTCTCCTTCTCTATCGATAAGTATGGTTCATCTCATGCTTAAAACCCAAAACAAAATACTTGACCAGGATCAGAAATATGGTCATGACATATGAAATAATGAAATATGGTTTTCTCCAATAGTCAACATCATTGTCCTTGCTCCTTTACCAAGTTGGTTTTCAAATCTCTGACTTTTGCCCACCAGGTGGCGAAATAGCAAATTTAAGATTCTATTTTGATTAGCACCTTTTTTAAAAAGGGAGATTTCCTAAGATTCTTAAAAAATAACTTTCAGGCCCCCTCCCTAGCCTTCTGCTTCTTCAAGCTCAATTTATCCTTCTCCCTAACATACAATGGCACTTTTTTGGGAGCCAGTTATCTTGTATTTTATAAAGAATGGGAGGCAAAGGAAAACTGCCAAGGACTCTGCCCAAGGTCATGGAAGAAAAGGCAAAATAAGGACTTGGACCTTCCTAGGACTTGGCCCACAGTTTGGGAGTCAGGAAACAGTGACCTTTGAACGTTGTTTCTGGTGCCAAAATTATTTGCAGCAGATTATAATAAAGGGTATAAATTTAAAAGGAGGAAGTAAGGGAAGCCAAGGCATACATGCTCCACGGGGGAAGAAAACAAAGTCCTAAGATTTCCAAGGTAGGGGATGTAGAAGTCTGGGTCTGATGTGGTCCAGGGAGCACATGGGAGAGAGAAAGAAGGTATAACAATGGCAGGAGGAAAGGAGCCGAGAGTAAGAATGTAAAATGAGGAGGGGAGGGGTCCCTAACTAAGCAGGTGGGTGGGCAGGTCAAGGAAACCATTTAAAGACTCAGACATGTGCGTGTCCAGAAAATATTTCCTAACGTGAAGCCAGACAGACACCATATCCCCAACTGAGGACACAGAGGCATGAAGAAGACCCATAAAACACAAGACAGAATGTACAGTTATACATCCTTCCTCCTCTCTCACGAGAGGGGTCTCACACAAACATGAGAAGAGGCATGTGTGTCCCTAAATGGTGGCCCAGCACAGTGGTTAAGAGCAGAGACTCTGGAACCAGACTAGCCTGACTGTCAGTCTGGGTTTGAATCCAAATCCTACCGTAGCTCCAGAGTTGGGTGATCTCAAGCAATGATTTAACATCTCTATGCCTGTTTTCTCTTCTGTACAGTGATAATGTTAAAAAATTAAATTTACCCTGGACGGTGTGGCTCAGTTGGTTGGAGCCTTGTCCAGTACACCAGAATGTTGTGGGTTCGATTTCTGGTCAGGACACATACCTGGGTTGCCGGTTCAGTCCATGTTTCTCACATCAACATTTCTGTTTCTCTCTTCTTCTCTCCTCTCTCCTCCCTCCCTCCCTCTGTCCCGCCCTCCCT